AAGGGTGAGCGGAAAGGGGTGAACGAGTGTCAGATTAGTATTAACACCACACGTTGTTCTTTAACTGAACACCAAGATATAACGTTGATTCTTAGGAGGGCTTGACAGATATGGATAATTCAGTTGACCCATTGTGAAAAATTCGAGGCCTCGGTGGGAGTCGAACCCACATGGCAAGGAAGGCTTTTACGTAGCCAACGCTCTACCACTCAGCTACAAGACTCGACGTGAGCCGTGAATTTACTCACGCTTGGGCCGATTTACGCGCCTAACCTACTGCTCGTATGGAATCCACCATTATGGATACAGTAAACTGACTGCATGGTTCACAGTGAGCCTTGTAGCTCAATGGTAGTGTCGGCTGCGTAAAAGCCTTTCTGGTGTGTTAGTTCGACTCCCACTGAGGCAGCGAATTTCTCACAATTGGGACAACTGTATATAACGTTGGTCGTGGTCAACTGCGGTCGAAGAGTGGCACAGTATTTGGCAATTAAGATCGGTATCAGTCAGCAACTATAACGCTTCAATAAAAACAAAGCCCTTAAAGTCGTTTTATTTAATCCGACCCGGGGACGGGAGGATCAAAAGCGATCAATGCTAGCTGACTGATAGAATAGTCGTAAACAGGTTGGAATTCGTGCTCCGATCGTCGCAACTCGTAATTTACTAACGCAGTCAACGATCGGGTTTTGCTTGAAACAATAAATTAAGAAAAAATGTAAAGACAATTTTGACTTATTCGGGGAACTGACCTGCTGCTGAGTCCCTTGCAGAAGCGTGCCACCTGTAGTGGTTGGTTTTACTGCAGGTAACGAGTCACTGACACCAAGCAGTGGAGATCCTAGACGTGCAGATGCCGGCACAGATGGGGCAGAACTTGCGGAAACATCGTATTTTTGAATTTGCAAAATGTAAGCGTCGGCTGTCGGTACAGAACCCCAGGCTACTTCGAGACTCTGGGTACCTGCTCGTACAAGTTGCACGCGATTCGGTGCGGGTGGACGGTCTGTTTCAAGAAGCCAGAGGTCTTTAAAGCACACCTGAAATACGATACTAACAATTAGAAACTGGGAATATATAACAAGAGCTAAGGAAATTAGTAACAGCTCGTGAGAATGCATACTTGATTGTTCCATGCTTTTCTGTATCCATCTCGTCCTGACCAAATATACAACCTGGAGTTTACTGCGACAGCACAGTGACCGGCTCGTGCCCGTGGCACCAAGTTTTCTTCAAA